ATATGACACAATCAAAAAACACATCAGTACAGTATGTGCAAATAAAGTGAACGACTGACTTTCAGACATACTGAGCTTCAGAAGGAGGAACAACTTATTTATTGGCTGAGCTAAAGTTGGATGGATGACACAGTGAACTTGTGGTTAGGATCTCAAAGACTATTTTGGGTTAGCAAGGCAGAGGGCCACATAAAATGACACTGAGGGCCGTAATTGGCCCCCAGAACTGAGTTTGGACATGCCTGCAATAGAGGGTATTGTGTAAGTAAACATTTCTTTATCTTATTTAATACTTTAGGTTTTACTCCTCTGTATATGGTGTATTTGGTGCACACCGGGGTAGTCTTGCACAGTTTTTCCTATGTGGTTTTACTGCAAATGGCAAATAAATGAATCTGAATCTGATCTGATCTATAGGACACCAATAATCCATTTTTTTAATCCCTATTTTTTGGGGTTCAATAACAGACGGTTGGGATGTAGTTTGATGGTAAAAGTGCCTAAAACCAATAGAGATGCCCCAAAGAGGTAGATTTCAGTTCCAGGCTTGCTTACAGTAGACCTATTGCCTCAAAAGGTGACCTGGCAAATGATGGATGAAACCATTAAAGGGTTAAAACCATGTTAATCTACTGCATACTTGTAAGAAACACCCCAGTGAGACACTCTTTGACTCTTTGGGTTGAGAGCTGATTGAGTGAGCCCTCAAATTCTTGCTTCTGTCTAAAAAAAAAAAAAAATACATGCATGTGAAGACCGGTGATAAATCCACACTTTTGAGAGAACTCTTGAGCTGGATATTTTAGATGATTTTGTAAGAACTTTAAAGCATTGATGTTGATAATAATGTATTTTATTATTTTCTTCTATTGTTATTGTAAACTGAACGGTGCTTAGATGTTATCTATAGGGATTTCCTGGTGGAATGAAGGTTAAATAAAAACATGGATTTTATGACATAGTTTCATATTTTGATGGTTTGAAGGGACGCCAGGTTTAAATGCAGAGGAAAAATATGGCAGGGTCACCACCTTGCACAAATGAAAAATAACACACAGACATATCCAAAGAGAAATAATGTAAATGTTTTAAATACTTTATGTAGAGAATTTGCTATGTAAAATAAAATATTTATTTATATTTTGTCTCTATATCCTGCACTCAAAGTTCAGCACATGCACTTGTTGTCTATAGGCATTTTTTTAACTTACTGTTTAATTGTGAAACTGTATTTTCCAACCTTCAGGTGACCTCTAATATGTCATATGTGTCGTTTCTCGCGTGCTTGTATCGTGAGAATGAGCCGAGAAGAGGTGCAGATCGGAAATTGACCAAGCGACAACACAATCTCGCATTGGCAGATGGCTTTTCACAAACCGTGCACACAAACCTTGAAGCGTGGCATATTATTGGCACTCACAAACTTTTACAGCCCTTGAAATGATCGCGACGTCAGCCTCAAGGCCTGGCGACAATACTCAAAGACCTCGACTGTTTACTACCACAATCAGGGTCAGCATCGCTAAGACGTTTAGTAATTTGAAGCCGGAAATATAGCAATTTGAATAGCGAACGCTGTCGGACACACACACACACACAATAAAATACAATTTATTCTTGTATAGCCCTAAATTAAAACAGAAGTCATCTCAGAGGACTTAACAAAACCATTGAAATCTCCTGGATCACCACAGTCCTTCTAGTTGGACACTAACTGCCCAACAGACCCTCCTGTATCGGCAAGGAAAAACCCAGTGGGAAAAAGTGAGAAACCTCGGGTAGATCCATACTTTGAGAAAGGAATCCGCTCCCGCGGACGGACAGGCTATAGATCCAGGACCTAAGCTACAGAACGTGGACCAGTGGCCGCTGAACGTGGACAGGTCCCGTGCAGGACTGAAGCACTCCCAGGCGGGTCGGGCGGGGCAGTCCGCAGGTGTAGATGGAGGAGGCCAGGCTCAGAGGTCCCGTCATTGTACCATGAAACAGACAATGGGACAACGGGTGAATAGCAATGAACAAACTACAACTACACACACACACACGCACATACACACCCATGCAAATCTCCTTAATGTTGTTTGTCCTTTGTTTTTGTCCATTGTACTTGTTTGTAGGTCTGCACTCGTAGCGTATGTCGTAGTAAATATACTGTAACACAAACATATTTTGACATTACAATATGGTTTTTCTATTTTTGCAGTTGAGTTTAATTGAACAATATATCTCAATCAGAAAATTAAAGCTAAAAAAAGTTAGTTTAAAGGTCCTATATTTTGCTTTTCTTCATTGTTCACAGTCCATCCCATGCACATAATAATTTGGGTGATACACTGTACAATACTCAAAACTTTTCAAATTACAGCCATTTCGGGGATAGACGTGATATCACCCCTTGTTTATGTCACAGGTTTGAAAGTGTCTGTTGAGGGGGTGTGATCATAAAAAGGGAAACTGGATAAAAAGGGGATAAAATTTAATAAAATATTTACAAAAGGGATCCATAAGAGATGATTAAAAGCCCAGAGTCCGTCCCCACTGTCGTCCGCTCTTCTCACCCGGGACCGGGCCGCAGTTCCGCCAGCCACTAGCCGACCACGGGTCGGCACCGGGCCCCCGCGGGGGAGAGCCGGCACATCCCGGTCGTAGTTGGGCCTAGCCCGGGCGCGCACGCGCCTTCATGCGCTGTCAATGCGCGCCCCCCTTACCGGTGCCGCTCCCCCCGCTGGCCTCAGTGCACCGTGGTCTCTGGCTGGCGGTGCTCGTCCTCGTCCTTGGCCCGGTCCCGCGTCCTCCTCCTCTCGTCCTCCGTGTTCCCTCTCTCTCTGTCCTGTGTCTCTCGTCCTGCAGTGCCCGCCCCCAATTAAAAGGTCTTGATTAAAAGCAGGTGTGGGTGATTAGGGGAAGTGTCCAAGGAACTGTGATTAAAATCCATGCATTAAAAATATAAAAACACAAAACACATCACACAAATAAAAGCAGTTAAAAGTCCTTTTTTTAAAAGTCCACTTTCCCACATTTACAAATAAAAAAAAAAAATTATACCATTTTATATTTCTTCACACAATCCATTTTGATGCACATTATGCGTTGCCAGGTCGCGGGGGCAGCAGTCTGAGCAGAGAGGCCTTCAGCGTGGGGGATTCAGGAGGCGTTCCCATCTCGGCGGAGAGATAAAGTCCTTCCAGCGTGTTGTGGGAGTTGTCACGTCAAATACTCAAATGAAATCAATGTCACATTACGCAGCAGTTTTCGGCCACACATGTTCAAACTGTCAGCCAGAGGTGGAAGAAGGACAAGACTACAGTACTTGAGAAAAAGTATAGTCCTTTAATCAACCCCTCATTTAAAGCTGCACTAACTGACTTTGGGATTTTGAAGCCGCGGACTCGCTGGCCTCGCTCTTTCTGCTCCCCTCCCCGCACCCACGAAGCTATCGTCCCCACACACACCAACTGTTGTTGACGGAGCTAGCGTCTCTCAATATGGATAATACATGGATATGGATTTGCACGTGGATGCCGTGACCATAGAACGATAGAACCGAGAAGCGCCGAGGAACGGGACTTTCTTTTGGATGGCTGTCTCGCTGTGTAAGCAGTAACCGGTGACGAAGACACATGAAGCTTCAGGTTAGCTCCGCCGCTTGTTGTGCTAACTCAGCCGTCTATGCTAACGGACCTGTAGATTTCTCACGAAAGTGGGGCCCAGTGGTCCGCTGTGATTGATCACAATCTGCGACCCGAAACACATTCTCTTCCTTGTTTCATCAAAACTTGATATAAAATGTAATGTCACGCCAGCACAAATCTGCGCTACTTATTCTTCAAAAGGACGTATATCCCAATGCACTACATGGACATGGATAGCATTTTTGTAATGAATACAAAAATAAAGTCAGCTTTAAAGGTGCATTGCTCAAGTGTCCCAGTGCCGCTTTTAAATCTAGATGTAGTTTTACCTGTATTTTTATTTTTTTACAGTTTGTCAATCAACTTTTACATTGGAAACAGACATGTGACTTCGCTTGGTTAAATTACAAAATATATTTGTGGAGAGCTGTCTTCTCACCATTTTTTTTTTTTAAAGTAATAAAAACATCCATGAATGAAGAACATATTCTAAAAATTATCTATTGCACAAAAAGTTAGTTATTGAATTTCGCAAAAAGGTCACCATCAGGACAGTTTTGGGAAGTATAAAAGTGCAAGCTTTTATATGTACAAAAGTGGGAGGTAAAAGGCATTTTTGATGAATAATTAACAGACAAAGATGATATGTACTGCTTTTGAAAACTGTGTGTCAGTGCATTTAATATGGAAACATACAGTTCAGTAGGTAGAATCCCAGTAATACCATTGTTGCTTATCGCCTAATACTGTTTTTTTCTGCGGTATTTCACGTCTATTATTTTGTATCCTTGCACCGATGGGACTGTGCAAAAACTATGGTATATAGAAGTTTGATTTATGAAGGACAATGTGTTGCATTAAAAAGATGGCTGCACCAGATTTAGCATCATGCTCTCTCGACTCTCCACCTGTAGTCTTTAACAATACCATCATATAACTTGCACAATAATATACAGTTTAGGTTACTAAAATACATATTAACATACAGTTCAAAATAAAAAGTTACTAAAATACACCTTGACACAGAGACACAGTAATCCCATCATGAAAATAAAAAAAAAATATTCTGAAACGTGGGACCAGCTCATGAGACCAGACCTAAATCGACTCATCTTTCGTTACTGTCCCCTGTCCCTCACACTCGATGCCCTTGGGGAGTTGTGAATGTCTCAGACTTCACAAACTTCTAAACAGCCTTGAATTCTACCCCTTTATGTGGCCCTTATTATTTGCCAACCCAACACCAATGATCACCTCCCAATTCTCTTAAAAGTTAGAATTTGCAGCCAGACACACATTAGGGCCGCGCTGTGCCCTCCAATCAGCTGTAACCCCGGGCTCCGGTGGCAGCGGAGGTGAGACGGCGTGATGAGAGGGAGCCGATCGATCGCGGTGGAACAAACGGCGAGGAGGACGGCGGGAGAGCGACGGGACGTGCACAGACTGGAGGGAAAAACACACCGTGACAAAGGACATGTGACTGAGATGCTGTTTACTGGAGAAAAGGCTCCAAAATCAGTTGGTTTAGGTACAGAGAATGTGATTGTTTTTCCTTGCTGGATCATCACCAGGGTGCAAGGACAGTGGTGATAATCCAGGAGACTCGATATTCAAGGACATTTATGGACATTTTAACAACAATCATGGACATTGGTCATCTGCCCCGTATGGAAAAATGGATCTGTGTTAAATCAGAATCAGACTTTTGTTATAAATATGACCCTGCTAAAAAGTAAAAGTCCACAACATTAAAAACAACAATCTTCAATCTAATGTTCTCCTCAACAACAATATCCTGCTTCCTCAGTCAGGCATCAGTGCGTATCCATGTGTCCTTACTTAATGAATTGTTGCTTTATCACTAATCCCAAAGCAGCTTGTTTATGTGAGCCGCTGACGGCCATTGTGACAAAATTAATTAAATAAGGAACAATGGTATAATTAAAAGTTATATAACAAACACACTCAGCGGACTGTGACCAGAGTAAAGTGACTTCATGCATGAATAACAAGGAGATGGTCGTCTTTCTGTTTGGGAACTACATGTAATTATCGTCTCATTGTTTACTCGATTTCACTCACACTTGAAAAAAATAAAATACTCGGAAAATGAGATGCTGTAATGTTTCTTCAGAATAGATTTGTTATCTGTGATTTACTTTCATTTGCCATGTGTTCAATTTGCAATATTTGTTTGTCTAACCCAGGTGTGTCCGAACTAAGGCCCGAGGGCAAAATGCGGCCCATTGTGTCAGTTTCTGTGGCCCCCTGCCTTCAACATAAACTAGTCATTGAGGTACTTTAAGAGTGTCATCCAGCCAGCTTCAGCTCTACCAACATAGTCAAGCTGTACCTTGTTTTGAAGTAGCAGTATGTAAAAACCTGGACAAAAGTGGTACTGCAACCTCTCCCACTCTCCCTGACTCAGGTTGCCAGATATGCAGACGAATCCAGCTGGGACCATAATATCTGAATAGACGAGAGTTTTGTCAAGAACAAATCTATGATCAACACATTTTTCACAAAGGCCCTGACAGAAATCCTTGTTTTCTTTTTTTTTTGTCATTCATGATTTGAGAATCATAACGAGACCTCTTTTAGTTCTAGAGCCACAGATTAGCTCGATGCTGTGAGTTCTGGCAACCCGGATCACAGAATTTCTGATCGGTAAAACGGTGGAGGGCGGGACATCGAAAGGAAGACTTAGGGGCTGTAAAACTAATTTTGAAATTCAAATATCTCAGCTGAACTATTGTTATCAGTTATAGAAGTATTGGAATAATGTTGATTTAATGTTGACATATTGGTACTTTAAAGCTCAGAACCAGTGGAATCCGGGCCTTCATTTGTACTGATATTTTACAATCCGATATACTGTATGGTGCTGATCAATATGGATATACACCCTGTTTTTAAACCCCAGAACAGCCCAAATTAGGTATAAATAGTTGTATAATCCTTGTCGTCGGCCCCTGGACAAGTCTGGGGAACTAAAGTGGGCCTCTCACAAATCTTACTGATCTGACGGTTTTTAGACTGGCAGGCGTATCTCTGCTCTTTTGTCCCTGGGCAGTTGAAGCTTCCTTTGAGATTACTAGTTGTGATTTAGAGCTAAGATACTGTTGTGATTTTGGGCTATACTAAAACAAATTGAATTGAATTGAAGCTTCAGTCATCTTATGTCAGCGTAGGCAGTCAAATGCTGGCCCCCGTTGGAAAAAGCAGAGGACACGGTTTATAAAAACAAACTGCAGGAAGTCAAAACTGATCTCTGGAGCTGATTACAACGGTTTAATCTTCTTTTGCTTGGTCATAAGTCACCTTGGCACTTTTAATTTGGTCATTTACATTGTTAATTAGTCCTGAACTGGATAAGCCGTTCTGCACACTGTTTTATCTCGCTCATCTTTCCTGCAGCCACATGTGCCATCGGGGCGGAATGAACAAACGGTCTGCACTTCCAGATGGACTTTTCGTTCATATTTTGTTTACACATTTACCGACAGTTACTCGAACGGCTTCACTTAACTATTACGAAGGTCTTGTGAGTTTGAGTGAGTCGTATCAGAATTAGAATCCTTTTATTGTAAGTAAGTAATCTTTTTTTATATAGCGCCTTTCACAGACTAGAGTCACAAAGTGCTTCACAATTTACTGTCTTTGTAATTTCAAAAGGAAGTCACAAACTAGTATTTCTTTGGCTTATGGTGCAAGTAATACATAAATGTAATGTGTAAAGGCATGTATTAAAACAAAACATTTGAATATATACTTATACACACACACATTGGATATTAGACACTGCAGGTTACATACATCGCAGGTTCAATCTTTAGAATATTAGTGCATTTCCTTCAGACTCAGTTTAAAGCGCTGTTCCTGACCAAGATATGTCCCATGAGCGCTGAGTGTTAGGCCCCGTCCCAATTCTCACCCTTGCCCTTAGGTGTGAGTGCCCTAACAAGAAAAGTGCCTTCCCAGTGGGAAGTGCACTCACAACATTCTCCCTAAGAATTGGGACACCCCTGGATCTAGGGGACAATATGTAAATGACGTAGTTCCACGTCAAAGTGTGAGATTTCACCACAGATAAGATCTGACACAGATATGACTTTAAGAAACACAGTATTTATTAAAATGATAAGTCTTTAATTCTATTTCATATGAAGATTTGCTATAGGTACAGAACTGCTGCACATCACGCACTCAGAGACAGACGCACACACGCATACAGACACACATGTAAACACACCGGGGCAGACACACACGCACACATACAGACACATGTACATACGCGCACAGAGACGTACCACAGACAGACACACACACGTACCACACAGAGACAGAAACATGCACATACAAGTATGCGCACAGAGACGTACCACACAGAGACAGACGGGTACAGCCGCGGTCACGCGGATCACAAACTGTGTCAAAGCAATGCTCTGAACTACGTCATGGATCTATAACAATAACATGCACCACATCTCTGAACGCCGCACGCTGCAGTCGCTTCAGGAGCAAACGTCAACAAACACGGCACCAACACACGCATTAAAAACTCTGCCTCGCACACGCCCTGGAGCTTCCTCCCGTTGAGCAACAAGCTTGTGCGCAGTTGTTTCATGTTGTTTTCTTTCATTGTGGCGCGGCTTTGCCTGACAGCTACTTTACCATCAACTATTGTAATGCATCATGGGATCACCCTCGCTGGCAAGTGAGCTCTCGACCACACTTGTAACTTCAATGTTGGCTTCAGGCCCTTCTTATATTGCTGACCTGAGTTTTTTGATCTGTGTTGAAATGCTGTTGACCCGGGACAACTGTGGGAAGATCGGCGTGTTGTTTGGCTTTTCACGACAGACTGAAGACGGAGAAAAAATACATACAAACTTTCAAATAAAGATAAAGATAAAGTATTGAATGCAAAAGCCAAACCTTTGATGGTAGGAGCTTGACTCTTGTTGCACAGCTTTTAACGCTGTCATTATGCAAAATGTTGTCCTTCATTTGACCTACACATTAGCAACTAGCTATACAATAGTTTAGTTTAATTGCTGTCTTAATTAACACTACTTTTCGCAGCATGCCTCGGACGAAAGACTAGGTCATGAGGCGGGTTAATAAGGCGCGTCTTTGATTGAAAAAAACAGAGCTTTTGCTCAGTGGAAATAGAACTTTTGCCAGTTTTTGCCACACACATTTTTATTGCGGTAAGGCACAACTTTAGAAGAATGACTAAAAGATGCTGATAGCAGCCCATCACTCCGCCTGTCCGCTTGCCCTAAAGGAGTTTTGACGTCTCCCCGGGCTAGGAGGCTTGGAGCTTATTCGGCGATACAGTATCTCTGCGTCCCTCTGAAGTGATTGGCCTCCTCATGCAGTCGCCCTTTGAAAGGCTGGAGCTCTCTGGCTGACCGCTACCATTATGTAAATATCCAGGCGGGATCCAAACAGCAGCAGGTCCTGAGGCGAGCCGATGGCACGTCCCCACAGCTGGTGTCGGCTGATTGGGCCCTGAGGTCACTGCACTCCTCAAGAAATGTACAAGAAAAAAACGTTGCTTTTTGACAGAAAGTTTCCAAAATGCAAGCTAAGGTCATATAAGTATTATTCATATGCGGCTTCTCAAGATGGCTTTTTAATGTATTGGCTGAAAGAAAGGAGATCTGTGTAATATCAACGTTTTTGGTCACCTTCTGTAATTATTGGTATTAAATTAAATATTTCGTGAATGATGGTATTTAAAGTACATACTGTACCTCACCATCTTAAATATTGACATACTCAGATGACGCCGGTTGGATTTGACCTGGGATAAAAGAGCTGATGACAATATTTGACAATGACAAGTTTTACATTAATATTTAGAATATAATAACATAATAATAACACAGTTCTCTAGACGTTTAGCTGTATTTTACATTTACGTTGTGTCTTCAAACTTTTGAAGTCTATTATGTTTTTAGGGCTAAGGGCTGAGGTTAAGGTTAGTGGACATGTTTATTGTATATGTGTCAAGTCCATTCTTAGAACTTTCATAAACTTTAAGCAAGACATAAAAGTATTTATTACCCATGCATCGTTCACTTTCACTATGTCTCTGGTATTGAAAATATCGCAATAGAAAAAGGTGAGGCATTGGTAAAGGTCATTTTGTCCTACCTCAGTGGATGTTTAAGTCCCTGGAGCCAACACTGTCATGGTGGAACAGTAAGCAGCCCATCTCCAGGCTGAAAAACAAAAGGTCGTGGCCTCATTGGCAGATCCGCCTCAGAGTCTCTGGGTGATGCCATGATCAGGGAGAGCTACACGCGCTGGGCCTGCCCCCCTGGTGCTGTAAACCAGTCATGCTGCCTGTCCCCACGCCTCACAGGGACAGTATCGATCCAAGTTCACTCAGTGGTTCTCAAACTCTTCATTCAGCTTTTGAGGTGCCACAGCTCGCTTGCTTTCTGAGATTTCCCAGATCTGAGTTATTTTGTTTTTTTTTTCTCATTTACCAGAGATCAGCAGGATAAGGAACTATTTTTATAATTGCTTTGAGATGGGTGAAACCTGCTATACACTATACTATACACAGTTTGGCACTTTACAGCCGCAGCAACCCCACTGTGGCAACTGGTGTTCCCAGAGGTTAAGTGTCTTGCCAAGGACACAACGACAGCAGACAGGGGGAGTCTTTGGTGAAAATCGGGCTAGAACCCACGACCCTCTGGCTCAAAGGCCAATGCTCTACCAATTGAGGTAATGTAATGGGTAATAACATTTTCAGTAATCAACGTAACTTAATCGTGCGTAACTACCGTGGCACAGGAGTTTACATTAGATGTCATTACATAACAGAAGGAGATAAAATGTTTTCTAGTAAAGTGCAGTCTGACTGAAACATGACTGTTGACATTCAGTGTCAAGGAAGGAACAAAAGCAGAAGTGCAAAATAATATAATTTTATAAATAATAAAAAAAAAAACAATGGACCAACACGAAGAAGAGAGGAGCACATGATCTAAATACACACAGGGAGACACGGGTCTAACGCAGCAGGGTGGGCCAACAATTAACCGGATGGACAGGAAGTAAGACTGAAACAACAAGAGAACAAACTTATATCCAAATAAAATCAAGTCAAAATAAATTAACAAAAATTCCACACGCTGACAGTCAGACTTTCTATTGGCACAAACAAAAGGTATATTGAAAAAGCATGGTACCTCAGCTTTAAACTCTATAATTGTTTTGTGAATGCCAATGTTCGGGCTATATAGACCATCAATGCCACTCCATAGTGTCGTTGCTTTTCTTTGTCGGTATATTCCACAGTATGCATCTTTCTAGCTCACACATGTGCAGCATCTCAAACACTCACATCTTCCATGTTCGGTGCCAGAAAAAGGAAAGATGAAAAAAAAGAGATCTCCCTGTTCTACATACAAGCACTTTGAAGGAGGCCTGGAAGCCATCTGTCGGACTTTTCAATGGCATGTGGAGTTTCGCCTTATCACACTTAACACTCAAGATGCAACAACGTGAGCGAGACGGAGAGAGCCTGGAGGTCTGAAAGCAAACGGAACAAAAACAACAGCATATGCAAGACGGGAAAGCAGGTAGCTATAAAGAAGTGGGACAACAAAAGCAGCAGGTTGCAGAGAATTAAACAGTTTTGTGGCGGAAAGCGGAAGGGGAGGCGGATGGATGGTCGGACGCTGGCGGAGAACGGGATGAAGGAGGCATGGCAAACACAATGTGGCTGTAACGAATGGACAAAACCACAAACTGTGGAAAAGACATCAATATTCAAAAGAGGACTGAAATATTTACAACTCAACAAAACTACTTTAGTATGCCAATGTTCTGTCGGAATATGTTATCATTCTGCCTTTGAAATTGTAGTCTTGTGTTGCTGATGCTGTGCTCAAAACAATATAGCAACATCCGAGTAGAATGATTGGTTAGATTCTACCCACTGTGGCTATGGTTGGCTTTATGGTGAAAGCTTATCCTCCAATTTATCAGTGAGAAGAAAATGTATGAACCGAAAGAAATTCAAACCTTCAATCTGAAACCAATGACTAGACATGGGGGGGGAAACACCAGACCGACAACAAGTAGACAGGAGCACAGGGTCTAAATAGTATAGAATAATAAGCCGCGTTTTCACTGCAGGAACTTCGGGGTAATTTTCCAGGGCCAGCCCCGTAGGTGCGTGTCTCCACTGCAGGAACTTTCCACACATTTACAGGAACTTTTACGGGGCCCGACGGAGACCCTCCTCCATGCTAGGTACTCTGTTGGGCCCTGGTGTGACTTAAAGTTAACCCGGCGCTGATTGGCTAAAGCTATCGCAGGCTTAGACGCCAGCAGAAAGCACCAAAACAACCAGCATTCAGAATTAGCCAAGCAGCATTAGCCTAGCAGCATTAGCCTAGCAGCATTAGCCTAGCAGACACCAATGGAAACAGCGCACAACAGCACAGCATTGATTCAGACGGGGTTTAAGGCATCGCGGCAAAATGAAAAGATATATTTAGACATATCAGGTTCACCTCAAAGCACTGAGGATTCATCAGACTCCAAAACAAGCCGTGAACATTTTTAATAAACTGCAGCAGGACTAAACGTAAAATAAACAAATGGGTTTGGCGTATTGAGTTTTGCTCAAGAGGCAGGTTCCTGTAAAAGTTCCACCTTGCTCCTTTTACCAGGAACTCCTGCGGTGGAAACCCGGCTATAGTAGTAGGTATAACAGGGTGAAGCAAACACTCAATGAGTCAAAACACAACAAAAATATGTTTTATTGATGGTAATTTGTGACTAGATAGAAAGGCATCCCCTGGGCTCCATACATTTATAATTCATATTGACGTTGATTTATTTTGCGTGTTTGTAGATGCAGCGGCTCCTTCATAGACATTGACCTAAACATCTGAAACTGGGGCTGAAATTAGAGCAAACATGTTTAATGAATTGCACATTTTATTAAAGGTGATGCGCTGCCGCTTTAGTTATATTTCATTTTGAAAAGATATCTTTGACCATAGACTGCTGCCCCCGCGACCTGGCAACTGATGAAGCGGAAGAAAAGGGAATGGAATTTTTGACCATATGTCCCTGTAGTGTCATTTATATAATATATTTTAAGAATAATCTATTTAAATCCGTTCCTCCCCTTGGCCTTACCATTACCAGTAATACTTTCTGGAGGAAAATAGTGGGTCAGCAGTCTGTCAAGAATTTGGATTAATTGCGTCCAATCAGAAAGCTGTGAGGGCGGCTTTCACTGATGCTTATATCCACAGGATTTGAAAAGTAACTGACCTTCACTTGAATTGTAAAAGTGTAAATTTTATTGTACACATTTGTTTCCAAAAGGCCTCCGATCGACCATGCTAATTTTCAAGTGTTGAATATTAGCATGGCAAGAGTAACACAAGCAATAGTGCATCTGGTCCGACCAATATAACTGTTTTTTTTCCATTTAGAAATGTATAAATTGCATGTGCATGTTTTACTTCGTCTGAATAGACATGGAATATTCCTTCATTCTTTAAACATTGGATGGAGGTCTTACATGGATTGACTGCAGAAAAGAATAAAGTTCCTCAAGGTTGACATTAAGCCTCACTTTTCCAAAAAAAAAACTGCCTTAACTTTTCCAATGTTTGAAGTTTGTGTAGCAATATATCTTTGCACTCTGTATAAAACAAGTGTTCCAACCGGGCAACATCTCACTGTCAATCCAGGACAAGACGCTAAAAGCCTCCCTAATGCCTCCGAGCTATTGTTGCCTCAATCAACCGAGCTGGTGAAATGGAGACAGAAATGCCATTGAGACGCATTAAGCGGAGAACATTTGATACTAATTGCTCAGACTAGACACGGTTGGAGGGGGGCTACGAGGCCAAAACCGGAGTCTACAGTAGATCTGGGATAGCGAGTCCAGACAAAACAGTGCAAGCAGCAGGTCAGGGCTGTGGGCGAGGGGTGGGATGGGGTCTTTGCCTCAGGTGTAGGGAATCTGAGGAATAACAGCGAGTCACAGGTCAATACTAGACAAGCTGAGACAAAAGGCAGCGGCACCGTTATGAGGGCTGTGAAAAGCTGTTTTCACATGCACTCTGGGGCAGGTCAGCAGATGGAGGACTCATCTGTTACATTATAGTGGTTCATTATGTGAAGTGTACCGAGTTAACATCGTGCTCCTGGATTCCTCTTGTTTATTTTCTGGTTGACTGTGATTCTTGCCGCACTGCTAATAGTTCGTTGCGGGTCAGCCATTGGTGAGTTAGGTGTAATTAAACTGTTTGTATATGTAAATAGCTAAAGACCCCCTTTGGGATCGAGAAGCAAGAGAGACCGGGCAAAACTATAGTAACCAGCCATGGTTCACAACCTTGTTAATAGTCCTGGTCATAGCAAAGTTTTGTTAGTTGTGTGCCCAAATGTCATGCTGCTAAGATTCAAAGTAATCTCATGTTTTTCAGAATATTTCTAGGTCCTTTGTACAGTTGCATGTGTTTGTAAGTATGTATGTTTTGTGTGTAGGAGTGGGGGGTGTAGTTTAATGTATCACTTGTTGGTGAAAACCGGTGTAAAAAATTTTTTTGTGACCAGCATACTAGACTGACTCCAGGAAGGCAAGGCAAGGCAAGTTTATTTGTATAGCACAATTCATACACAAGGCAACTCAAAGTGCTGAACAAAACAAGAAAGCATTAAAATCATAAATAATCACAGAACATTAAAAAGAAAGATAAAAACATAAAATCCCTCAGTTGTATGCACAACTAAACAGAACTGTCTTTAACCTGGTTTTAAACATTGTCAGAGAGGAGGCCTGTCTTACATCTTCAGGAAGATTGTTCCAGATTTTAGCAGCATGAATCTGAAAAGCAGCCTCCCCATGTTTAGTTCTGACTCTGGGCACTAACAGGAGTCCAGTCCCTGTGCTCCTCAGAGTCCGGGCTGGTTCATATGCGACTAACATGTCACTAATATATTTTGGTGCGAGGCCATGGAGAGACTTGTACACAAGCAGAGCTGTTTTAAAGTCTATTCTCTGAGCCACAGGAAGCCAGTGCAGAGACCTGAGGACTGGACTAATGTGGTCGTACTTCCTGGTTCTAGTCAGGACTCGAGCTGCTGCATTTTGAATGTACTGCAGCTGTATTACAGCCTGTTTGGACAGACCTGTGAGCAGGCCATTGCAGTAGTCTAACCTACTGGAGACAAATGCATGGATAAGAATCTCCAAGTCTGCTTTAGACACTATGTTTTTGATCCTGGCAATGTTTTTAGATGGTAAAAAGCTGCTGATGTTACTGATTTGATGTGGCTATTAAAATTCCAGTCCAGTATTACCCCTAGATTTCTGACCTTGTTTGAAGGTTTTAGGGAGAGAGAGTGTAGATGACAGATGACGCTCTCTCTTTGTTTCTGGGGACCAAAGACAATCATTT